TTTTTTATTTATTTACAGCTCATCACAAAACTCTTTTTATTTAATGATACAAAATGCAGAACACAAGTAGTTAAACAATTCAGCAATCAAAGCATTATTCTGATTTTATTGAATATATACCTGACAATGTAAAAGTAACTGATATCTTTTACATTGTTAGAAAATCATTAATTATTCCTGGATTGTAATTTTTGGTTAAGAACAAAGTAAAACATGATTAAGATGTGGTTGTTCCAGAGCTTCAGAGGAAGATGGTGATTATGGCTGAAGACACCAGCAGAAACATAACACTGGGACCAGTTGGGATAGCACTGTTGCACAAGTTCCCTTCACAGCAGCTCATAGGACTGACACACAAGCTAGTGAACCATTTAAGTTACATCACATGGAGTATGTGTGTGGGCGAATTAGACAGCGCTTGTATTGTGTAAAAAGGGTCCATCCAGTAGATAAATACATCATGTTATTATTTTATAGGTAAATGATAAATGTTGAATTTATCATCCGTTATGGTATCACTACATGGTTTGGCAATATTTCTGTCAAGTTTAGATCAAATAAAAATTTGATTAAAAACATTGGAAAGACAAGTTAGAAGTGGGAGAACAGATAAAAAGTTGCAGCTATATTTCACACAAGGTCACCGGGTACGTAAACACAGGAACTTAGCAGTCTCAAAGTAAATTGGCCTTGAATCAGTTCTGAAGGAGGAAGACTGGAGTGATCTTTGTTTTTATTGTTTAGCCAACCGTGGTCTAAAGTGACCTATTGGTAACACTGACTCACCGACAGGTAAAATATTAACCTGGATTATCCTTTTTATCGCAGGAAGAAAGCCATGAAGGTTTTCTATTTGTTTTATTTTTTAGTAGAGCAATCTGGAAGAAAGCATTTCTTTTGTGTGATAACTTATCACAACTTGAGTACTATATCTTTAATGTTCACTTCACACTTTCATTTTTAGAATAAAGCAACTTTATTTTTAATTCCCAGAAAACGTTCAGCAAGAAAAACAAAGGAGAAAGAGAAAATTTGATAAATGGCAATTTTTCTCTATCACTTAACAATCATGGTTCAGTTGTGCTTTTCAAGGTGGTCTTCACTCTGCTATCCTTCGATTACCTTTGTGTCATTTACAGTTTTACTAAATGGAAAGAAATTCATTCATATAATAATTTTAACATACAGCCTACCCGAGGACAGAGTCAAAAACAGGATCAGAGCTCTGAACAGTTTCATTTTGGAAGAAAGAGAGAAACACACGATGTAAGAGGATGACTGCACATAGACGCTTGGCTCATTTCTCAGTATCTCAAAAGGTTTTATCAGGAAAGGTTTCATTTCCTCATACACCTCACACCTGGAAGATGGTGAAGGGTTTTATGGCCAAATAAGATGATAAACTGCTATAAACATTTACAAGTACGCAAAGTGTGCATTTACAATGATACTGAGGAGGTGATGCATTCACCAGCTACTTCAGTAAGTATATCTGAGCAGTACTATAGGCACACTTTCAGAATTGCCTTAATTCTCTATTACATAAATTCAACAAGGTTCTGCAAACATTCCTTTGAGACTTCCGTCTATGTTAGCATTACACAGCTGTGGAAAATTTGTCAGCTTCACATTATGGTGCAAAGCTGACAGACCCAGCGTGCTCTTCTGCTGCTGTAGCCCATCTGCTTTGTGCATTGAAAGATGCCCTTCTGCATACATTGGTTGTAACAGTTGGTTTTTCGACTTGCTGTTGTTCCTATCAGCCTAAAGCAGTCAGTCTGGCTATTCTCCTCTGACCTCAACAAGGTGTTTAAAGTCACTTAAATAATCTTTTTTTTTCTCCATTCTGATGTTGGATTTGAGCTTCAGCAGGTGTTCTTGACCATGTTTACACGCCTTAATGTATTGAGGTGCTGCCATGTGATTTTAAGGAGCAGCTGAAGAGGTGTGCCTAATTATGTGGTTTATTAAAAAATTTAATAAACTAAACACAATTAAACTATTTGACAGAATACACAAGACATTTAAGAATAAGCAGTCTCCTCTAAATCATGTCCAGAACTGGTATTTATATTAGCCCCATAAATGTGTGGTGCACTTAATGAGCTATAGCCAGAAATACCAAACTGCAAACAGGTTCAGAATCAGCACAGTTCAATTTGCTTTTAATGTTTTGATTGAATGGCTGCTTTTTCACTCCAAAGTAGGACCAGAACCAGCAAGGTAAATGCAAGTCTTACTTAGCTGCTGAGCTTCAGTGGTGGGCTAATATCCACAATCATGCTTTATCTTTATCACTGTGGATACAATAATATAAACTTTAAACAGAATTATTAGCTTGAGCCTTGTTGTAACTGCGCTGATTTATTGGCAGTGTGAGCGTTTAAGACTTTCATTGTCAGACTTTAAGATTTAATTGTATTTGTAGCATAAAAGCACATCAGAATAGCATTCAGCTGAAGAGGCATTTTTGGATGGGCTTGGACTCGCAAGGCTTGCACTCAACTGCAAAGCTGGTTCACTAACACTTACATGAAGCCATGCCAGTTGAAGACTCCTTTGACTCTTTTCCTCTATAGCTCATGTGTTTTGTTGTTGCAGAGAAAGACCACCTGAGGGCGCTAAAGGACAAACTGAGAAGAACATTAAATGAAGCCCAAGACAAAATAAGAGAGAAACTGCAGACAGTCTTTAAGAGACTGAGACTGAGAGAATTTAGATGCATTGACTGCCCACATAAGTACCTCGAGGCAAAGTGTGTGCCTAGTGAAGAGGCCTTCCTCTATAAAGACTTTGATGAAGCACAGTGCACATATTCCACATGTATTACTTTTGTTTTTCCAAATGTGTTTGGCAGTAGGTGTAAATAGCCCAACCAGAGGTTAAATCACCCGGGACTTTCCATCAGCTTTTAGAACAGATAAAGCCTTTTGAATGAGAGGTAAAGGGTCATTTTAAGCACCTATTTCAGAAGGACTCATCCAGGCTGGAAAAACTGATCAGGAAGGCTGGCTCTGTGGTCAGCATGAAGCTGGACACTCTGGTGGCAGAGAAAAGGACATTAAAAAAATTGCTGGACATTATGGACAATGCTGGGCATCCTCTGCACACGGCCATAAACAACCAGAGGAGTCTATTCAGTGACAGGTTGCTTCTCCCAAAGACGAGAACCAACAGACTTAAAAACTCCTTTGTGCCACACGCCATCAGACTGTTTAACTCCTCTCTGGAGGGGAGAGGGAGGGGAAACAGGAGGACAAAGGAGGGGGGAACAACTAAGCTGTAGTGCCTCTTCACTTCACTGTGCAATACTTTTTGTGCAATACTTTTTGTTAATAGCCAACGGTGCAATAGACTTCAATACTTGAAATGTGCAATTCCCTTGTATTCTTATTCCTATTTATTCTTATTTATCCCTTTTGTATATTTTATTTATACATGTCTCTGTATTTATATATGTGTATATATAGTATTCTGCTCACATTCTGTAACTTCTGTCGGTGCTGTGCTATTAGAAACTGAATTTCCCAGAGGAACCCACCCGAGGGATTAATAAAGTTTTATCTAATCTAATCTAATTTTTCTTTAAGAAAAAAATCGGAATCTAAATGTGAAAGTCTTATCTCCGAACTTTGTTTTGTGATCGTTAGTAATGACCACTGTGTTCAGGTTTTTTTTCCTGATTTTGAAATATAGGCTTATAAAAATCTTTTTTTTTTACATCTCACGGGGAAAATAAGATAGATGGAAAAGTTGAGTTTGCCTTCTGAATTTAATACAAACCATGATCATTTTCTAAAACTGACCAAACAGCAACAGTGAAGACAACGGACGTCTAAAAATACCTTCCTTCTGAGCAGTCATGAGATCAGTGATAC